AGTCTTTGTTGGGCTTTCTTTACCACAGTGTTTGTATATAAAGTCCAGGACAGATCCTCAGTAATGTGAAAACCGAGGAACTTGAAGCTGCTGATCTGCTCCACCTCAGCATTGTTTATGTTGATGGTGGAGTGCTGACCTCCACTCTGTTTCCTGAAGTTCACTATCATCTCCTTTGTTTTGCTGACATTAAGAGAGAGGTTACTTTCAATTCAGTTTATTTATATAGCACCAATTCACAACAAAGGTGTCTCACGGCACTTTACAGAAATATTCACATACATAAAAAAGTCAATTAGTTGAGGATGATGTTATAGCTATGTTTGGGGTATTCTCATGTAAATAAAGAGTACAAGAGTGGACTGAGGACACAGCCTTGAGGTGTACCGGTGCTGAGGACTAGTGTGGAGGATAGGTGACCTTTGATTTTCACTGCCTGTGGTCTGTTGATGAGGAAGTCCAGTATCCAGCAGCAGATGGACTCCTCCAGGCCCAGTTTGGTGAGCTTGGAAACCATCTCGGAGGGGATTATGGTGTCGAATGTTGAGCAGTAGTCAATGAAGAGCATTCTCACATAAGTGTTTACCTTCTCCAGATGGCTGAGAGAGGTGCTTAAAGCTAGTTGTGCTTTGTTTTGTGTGTTTTATATGTAGATAGATGTGGTAACCTGGTTGCACAAGTTTAGTCTTTGTTCTAGACATGTCTTTGTCCACACTACCACCAAAAAGAGGTACAACTCTGTAGTAACTATGCCAGGCCTGGTGCTGCACTGCTGACACAAATTGTACACCAAAAACAGGATATGCATAAAGCTTACACGCTGGGTGGGAAATACAGACACAACAGAAGAAAGATGCCCCTGCGTTGTAGGTTAGATTAGAGGTGGGCCTGTGGCGTCATAGTTTTCAAAATGATGTGTTTTAACTGTTCACACAAAAATAAAGAGTCTCATTTCAAAAGAGACTTGTGTATTGACAAAATGTCATTCCTGATGAAGAGGAATTAGGCAGATATGTAGTAGATTTGCATAAGATTCCCTAAAAAGGCCAATTTTAAAACTCAAACATGAAATTCTGATGCTAGTTTTACTTTTTTCACTTTCTGCACAGCTGCAGGCCTGAGCTGATGTCAGCATCAGACCCTATGCTAGTTAAAATACTGCATAAAAACTTTGAAGTGGCCAGAGTAATGAGTTATACATTTCTTATGTGAAAGAAAATATTTTTCAAATAAGGCCGACTTCTTTCACTCCAGAGTTTTAAACTAAGATCCTCTTCTTATGAGAAACGACAGTTATAGCTGTTTTGGTCAAAACTTAAACATCACATTATCCAAAGTTTCATGTGATATTGCAAGATTTCATAAAATGTATTCATGATTGCAGTAGGTGTTACCAATTGTTGTAAGGTGCATTAGCTATGGCATCCATCTTAAATTAGTTTGATTTCAAATGCTAATGAATTTTAGATAAACTGCCAATAATTACTTTCCCAGAGTTTCACTAAAATTTGTTAAGTGGTACGTGAGATTTTTTGCTAATAATAATAAAATGGCTGGTTGACAGTGAAGTAAATTAGAGATTAACACCATCAACTCTTGAGACTATTTACACACGAGCTCCAAAAACTATCAGCAGTCACCTCACCCCATGTATCCCCAATAATAAAAAAAATCATGTGAGAAATCTTTTCACTTTTTATCGTATCAGAATATTTGGCCTCCTGTGCTACTGTACCTAACACAGATAAGACCTTAGGCAAGTCCAACATGCACCATTTTTTTACATTTCATATCCAATAGAATATGATTCAACAAACCCATGTTCTGTGGCAAACGTTGAAAAGTAATACAAACTGATTTTAAACAGTTTTTGTGACAGTTTCAAGCTGTTTCAGTCACGACTTTGGAAACAGCCCCTTCATTTCTATATATGGGCATGATGTCACACCAGGGATTCGATAATGCAAGACCACCAGATTTCTATTGCAAAAAGATGGAGGCAGCTGCAAAGATGGACAGTCTCATGAAGAAAACACCCCAATTCCTACCCGTTTTCACCCCCACCCTTATTGAACAAACAATCAAACCCCCCCCCCCCATCTCCTTTCTGACTGAGACCTGAAGTTATTTGTGAAGCAATCAAAATATCCACAGGAAGAAGATGCAGAAGTGGAAGGAAGTTTGGCAGCGATAGAGACATGGCGAAAGCAGGAGTAAGTGAGGAGATTTGAGATATTTAGCGTTTTGGATTTTATAGTTCAGGGGTAGTGTTGTGTGTTTAGTTTATTCAGTTTTAGTGTGTTTG